AAGGTGGCCGCCGTCACCTTGGGTTTTGCAGGCCATAGAATAGCTTAGGGATAATGTGATTTTTGAGGATTGCGAACTTCTGGTCCGGCTTAAGAGGGGATCTCTTAAGATTGGCCAGCCAGGTCGGTAGATTAGCGAGGGAAGGGCGCATTAGTCCTTTGACGGACGCTTCATGGCCAAGATAACGGAAGCTGTTGACCTCCGTCACCATGGCCACGCGGCGTCCATCAATCGTAAGTTTGTAATCTTTCCTAGGCGCCAGGACACCCCTCGCCAATCCCACGACCATGGCTGAGCACTTTTTAGGGTTTAGTGCCATGCCTTGGACTTCGCGAACTCAACAATCTCATCGAGGACCAGAGGGATATTCTCCTCCTGATCCTCGAGCAAGACTATGTCGTCCGCAAACGCCATGGCAGACACCCTCACCCCAGGCAATATTGTTCCGCCTCGCTCCCCATTATTAAGCCCGGCCAGAAGCTCATCAATCACTAGATTGAAAAGTAGCGGACTCAGCGGATCCCCTTGCTTTACACCGCAGCTAAACCCAATGTCCCTCGTCGTTTCCTGCCCCACCCGAATCTGTGTCACAGAGGTTGCCAAGTTTGTCGCAACGTAACGTATGGAACGCTCGTCCACCCCAAACCGTCTGAGAGCTCCCACAACGCTCCCATGTCCAACAGTGTCAAAGGCCTTCCGCAAATCGAGTGAAGCGACCGCGTACTCTTTATTGGAGGACACCCTTTCGAATGTATGAGTGTAAATCATACAATTCGCGAGAGTGCCGTCCAGCGTACTAAATCCGCGTTGATTGGCTTCCAGGGCGACGACCTTCCGCAAGCGGTTAGCCATCGCCCTGTGCATCAGTCGCTGGAGGGCACTCCCGATAGTAAGGGGCCTCCAATTCGCCGCCTCGCTCCGTTGGCCGTCTTTTATATAATTGTGGTCCTAGACCGCAGGAAGATGGCAGGGTGCACGTTTCTCATAAGGATTATTGAATATAAAACACATAGCACCCTGTTGTTCGTATTTTTAACCGATGCCACCGTTATCCGTCAGCACCAGGTGCTGAGTTAGCCCATGCTGTTTTGGCTGCCTCTAGTTCGCTTTCTTCGAATGGAGCGAAAGTGGTGGCATCGGTGTTTCGTGGTTCGGGATGAACCGTCATCGTCTCCGTCGCAGCCCGCTCGAAGATCCCGCTATACAGCTCCTCAACCGCTTTTAGAGGTGGTACCTCTTCAGTAGAGTCTAGTGGAGTTCCTGAAATGATTTTATCCACTAGAGCTGATCTGTTACGGAGGTAGAGATCCTGGGCCTTTTTGTATGATTCTACCCGTGGACCTCTTCCTGGTCTAGTACCTCCGTAATTTGATTTTGGTCCACCTCTGTGACCATTTGGGTTGTATTTCCTTCCCCCTTTTTGGAAATGTTCTATTATCCAATTGTCTAGATAGGAGGCAAGATCATTAACCGCAAGCGATGATCCTGCCTGGCACAGGTCCGCCAGATGGCCGTTCCCATTGGCCAGCGCTGCTTCGCGTTCAGACGCGAGGTATTCGCGCAGCGCTGGTTCAATGACCACCTGGGTTTGTTCGACCTGTGCGGGGGAGTTGGCGGTGAGGTTGACTGCATCGGTGCGGGGTCTCCTTACTGTAGGCTGCGACAGAGGCGACATCGATTCATTCCGAATCCTCTTCCTGCTTGTCATCGGATCTGGAGTGATTGGCGATAGTGCGGACGCAACCGCGGAGGAGCACTCACCCTCTTTTACATCGTCGCGAGCTGTTGGTGGCGTCGATGTCGCTGCCTGATGGTCGATCTTCTCGTTCGTTGGGCAGGTGGGCGGCTCACAGGGCACACTGGGAGAAGGGATTGGTTGCTGTTTCTTCCTAGCGGCATCGAGGTATTGCTTATAGATGGGTTTATCCTTCGATGCCGTATTTGGTCCTTCGTCAGACCTGATTCGGCAACCATTTTCGCCATAAAGGGGCCTTTATGTGACTGGATCTCGATGTTTGCCAGTATATCATAGATTTCGGAATCAGGCCTTCGTAGTTCCCTCCTCCTGCTGTCGTTTTCTGCTTCGGGGTGTGCCCTCTGCTCGTGAAGCCGCACCCCTGTGTATGTAGTAAAACCTGCTTTGCAATATTGGCATTTAGTTCGATCGCGCTTGCCACATGTTAGGAGATGTTTGTTGAGGCCACTTTTTGTCTCATAGGGCCTCTCGCATATTTGACACCTGTATGGTGCTGCATTGGCAGGCTGCAGGGTCACCGTATTACTGGGCCCTGGTATTGGAGAAACGGTATTCGAGCCTGCCAATTTGGTTCCGGTGGCTGTTGGGCCACCGGCAGTCGATTTTCCACCCGCTGGAGGGGATTTAACTGGTTCCCCCTCATTTATATCGAATTTCCTCTTGCGGGTGGGGTGACGTGACGTCATGTCACGTGTTCTAACTCTCTCTGCCGCAACAGCGGTTTTAAATGTCTTCCTCTTGGAATCCGCCATTGCGCATGCGCCGCTGTTGTTGAGTGTCTTTGGGTAGATTAAAGTACTGTCCTTTCCGCGTATGGGAGTGAAGACCGTTTGCCGCTACGTGGTCTGGTTCCGGAGATATCGCGTGTGAAAGATTTTATCTCCGGAACTACCTCCTCCCAGCTCCTGGTCTCCTGATACCTGGCCGCACTTAATACGGCCAGTACGGCGTTAACTGTCGAGTTATGGAGCTGAGATTTGGTGTGTGTCCTTGGGGCCGGTAGATGATTGATTGGACGCCTTTTTGGCCCCGTCGGACACGATGTACTTGCCAAAAGGGCACTAGCGGCTTGACGCCGGAAACCGGCGTTGCGGGGGGCAATCGAGCTGGTGTGATAGAGTCATAGTTACTCCCGCCGTTTACCCGCGCTTGCTTGAATTTCTTCACGTTGACATTCAGAGCACTGGGCAGAAATCACATTGAGTCAACACCCGCAGGGGCCATCTCAATGCTTTGTTTTAATTAGACAGTCGGATTCCCCCGGTCCGTGCCAGTTCTGAGCTGACCGTTGAATGGCGGCCGAAGAGGACACCAGAACGCCCTTGCGAGCGCACTCTGGGCCTCGCAGCAAGACGGTTCCGCGGGAGGCCAAGGCACGGTACCGAGTTCGGATCCGCAATCCTACCGCACACGCGCGAACGCATACGACAGAACGTTTCACCTCGCCCAGGCCCGGCACGTCAGCCGCGACCCGCTTCCTCGCCAAGCCCGACACGCCCCGATCCTCAGAGCCAATCCTTATCCCGAAGTTACGGATCCAATTTGCCGACTTCCCTTACCTACATTATTCTATCGACTAGAGGCTCTTCACCTTGGAGACCTGCTGCGGATATGGGTACGAACCGGCGCGACACCTCCACGTGGCCCTCTCCCGAATTTTCAAGGTCCGAGGGGAAGACCAGGACACCGCTGCAACTGCGGTGCTCTTCGCATTCCAAACCATATCTCCCTGCTAGAGGATTCCATGGAACTCGAATGCTTATGCAGAAAAGAAAACTCTTCCCTGGTCTCCCGACGGCGTCTTCGGGTCTTTTTGGGTTACCCCGACGAACTCTCTTGCGAGGGCCCGACTATTGTACGGTTCCGCTGCCGGGTTTCGGAATAGGAACCGAATTCCCTTTCGCCCGACGGGCGTGTTCTTTATATATACACACATACATACATATATTTATAAAACAACGCCACATCAACATCGGCTTTCGCCTAGGGCTTAGGATCGACTGACTCGTGTGCAACGGCTGTTCACACGAAACCCTTCTCCACGTCAGTCCTCCAGGGCCTCGCTGGAGTATTTGCTACTACCACCAAGATCTGCACCGACGGCGGCTCCAGACGGCCTCACGGCCAGCCCTTCTGCGCGCACCGCCGCGACCCTCCTACTCGTCAGAGCTTCATGGCCGATCCGTTTTTACGCGGATCGAGACCGCACATGCCGCTGACGGCCGAGTATAAGCACGACGCTTCAGCGCCATCCATTTTCAGGGCTAGTAACTTCGGCAGGTGAGTTGTTACACACTCCTTGGCGGATTCCGACTTCCATGGCCACCGTCCTGCTGTCTTAAGTTACCAACGCCTTTCATGGTATCCCATAAGCGTCGATTTAGGCGCTTTTAACTCGACGTTTGGTTCATCCCACAGCGCCAGTTCTGCTTACCAAAAATGGCCCACTTGGCACTCTGATTCGATTCTCGCAGCTTCATTAGTTCGAGCAAGCCGGAGATCTCACCCATTTAAAGTTTGAGAATAGGTTGAGGTCGTTTCGACCCCAATGCCTCTAATCATTCGCTTTACCGGATGAAACTCGTCACAGACGAGCGCCAGCTATCCTGAGGGAAACTTCGGAGGGAACCAGCTACTAGATGGTTCGATTAGTCTTTCGCCCCTATACCCAGTTCCGACGATCGATTTGCACGTCAGAATCGCTACGGACCTCCATCAGGGTTTCCCCTGACTTCGTCCTGACCAGGCATAGTTCACCATCTTTCGGGTCCCAGCGTGTACGCTCTTGGTGCGCCTCTTCTCGTAATGAGAACGAGACGCCCCGGGAGTGCGGAGCGGCCGCTTTATAGACGTGCCGCCCATCTTCCCTAAATCCGCGCTAGGCGGATCTTTACTTTCATTGCGCCTTTAGGTTTAGTTATGTCCCAATGACTCGCGCACATGCTAGACTCCTTGGTCCGTGTTTCAAGACGGGTCCTGAAATTACCCAAAGCTATAGCGTCGCAGATCGGCGTTTCAAACGAGGTCTGTCCGAGAAATCCGCACGACCAACAGTCGTCCGGGGACGGAACCGGGCGCTAGGTCCGATCGCCGTCTTAGCATCGAACGTGCTTGTCGTGGGTCGGACGCTAATTGAAGAAGTAGCGGCCTCGCGCCATCTGTATACCGTCGAGCGAGTCGGCCGGAACATCGCGGGTTCGAGCACGAATCGCCGAAACGATCGTACACGGACTCCACCGCGAGCCGTAGACCGACACCCAACGGATCGCGACGTCCTACTAGGGGAAAAGTGCACGCGTTCGACGCCGGATCGAAAAGCGAAAGGCGCGGACGACGCGCGAACGCCGTCCGTCGCGCGACCGCTCATCGCCGACGGCCGAAACGCGAATGAATTTCCCCTTTCGACCTTTCGGGTTTCTCAGGTTTACCCCTGAACGGTTTCACGTACTCTTGAACTCTCTCTTCAAAGTGCTTTTCAACTTTCCCTCACGGTACTTGTTCGCTATCGGTCTCGTGGTCATATTTAGCCTTAGATGGAGTTTACCACCCACTTAGGGCTGCACTCTCAAGCAACCCGACTCTGAGGAGAGATCCTCCCGCGATCGGCAGCGGCCACTACGGGCCTGGCACCCTCTATGGGCTGTGGCCCCGTTCAAGAAGGACTTGGACTCGCCGCGCGACCTCGGGATAAACGGATCCTCCCTAACACCACATTTCCCGGCGCCCGATATCGACCGCGGGATTCGGTGCTGGGCTTTTCCCTGTTCGCTCGCAGCTACTGAGGGAATCCTAGTTAGTTTCTTTTCCTCCGCTTAGTAATATGCTTAAATTCAGCGGGTAGTCTCACCTGCTCTGAGGTCGGTTAACAATATACAACACAACACCACACACAGATATATATGTCACACGCGATCGCTAATACTAAATCGTATAGCTGCTGCTGCTATACTACTACTAGTCGAAAGCGTTCTCTAGTGTTTAGCGCGTATATGCGATCAGACGTCGTTATCTCGAAAAAAATAATTTCTCTCTCGGACACGACGATCGCAGCGCAAGTTCGAAACGCGTAACGACTACAGCATATTACATATATATATATATATATATATATGTAGTGCTATTACGATTTTTATCCGTACAGCGCGCGTGTTCGTTCTATGTGTGAGTTTTGAGATGCCGCGACGACGACAAAGACGACGACGTTTACGATATTACATAAATAAATATATAATAACTAGCGTCGTCGCGTCGTACCGCCGCGTCTACATCCAACACGCTCCGACGTTTCATTCTCCTCTCTCATGTCGTCGTCGTCGTCGTCGTCTCTCGGATAAAGAGATAATACGACGACGCGAACAGAGATCGGAGAGGAAACCGAGCAGTCTTTTAAATTGATACGACCCTCAGCCAGGAGTGGTCCGGGAACAGTATCCGAGGACCGCAATGTGCGTTCGAAATGTCGATGTTCATGTGTCCTGCAGTTCACAAGTTGACGCGCAATTAGCTGCGTTCTTCATCGACCCACGAGCCAAGTGATTCACCGTTCAGGGTAATCGTTTTTTAATTAGACGATCTCTATATATATAAAATATATATCGATACGTCTTTATTGTTATGATAATGGCTAATGTTATTAAAGAAAATATATAAAAAAAAGAAAGCGCGCATTTCTCACGGAGACTTCGTGTATTTTGCGCGGCAAACGCGCAAAATTTTTTTGCGCGTTTATAACAAACGAGCGTGCCGACGAAGTCTCTCGTGTACGCGCGCATTCTATCCGTATCGCGCTTCTATAGCATACGCGTGTGCAAGGGGTACAAATAACACTACAACAGAGTTGTACATAACATGAATATATATGTATGTATTAAGCGTACAACACGTGTCGTCCTCTTGTACCGTCTTTTCGTATGGCGTAGAAATTTCGACTAACGGGCGAATATCTTTAAAAA